TATTCCATGTTTGAGGCGTAAACTGGGAATCCAGATCGTTGCCACACGGCTTATTTATAATCTCCAATGTCAATGTTAGTGCTTACTGCTGCCATCTATCTATGCTCTGTGTAGTCTCATTGACTCTTTGGGATAATGCAGCCCTCTGCGTTGCGATTCTGTTTTTTTTTTTTAATCAATGCAAATCATCATGTATTTTAATCAACTCATGATGCATCGTTACATCCCTAATGAACATGTTGTGATGCAGCAGCAGACATAAAAACATACATACATTTGTACAGTTGCTAAAACACATGCCGGCAGACTTATGTGTTCATGCACCGCTGGTGGCAGGGGACGAGCGCATTTAGAGATCAGTATTAATGCCAGACGGGGTGAGTTATCAAACTCGCCGTGATTAATGTGGGATGACGGACCGTGACTGGGCGGCTGCAGGGACACATTCCTGTAGGCCAGAGATGGTCACACCTTTTAGACCATGACACCAGTTGTGTGTGTGTGTGTATTGCTGTGTTGACAAGCTCTTAGGCTTCTGATCTTAAGAAATAATTCTTTAAGGCTTCAGTCAGACTGGTCATTGGTTCCACCAAATAATGGCGGTGAAAGACCTAGAAAACTGTGATGTTAGTGGGACCTATGTTGGTATGCAGTCATCAAACGCCGTCAATGTGAGGTTAATATGGCTATTGTGATTTGGGATTAGGTTATGGGTTGGGATTAGTCTTTATGGCCTGATACTGTTTTACACCTGCTCATCACCTTTAAGCTCAGTTATATGACACTGTACCTCAATTTGTTAAATTTAGTCAGTATAAAGCAAGATATTTTTCTTTATAGTTTTTTCCTCATACTTTTTTGTAACAATGTTCGCTTCACTTTCTCACTAATTATCTCCGAAATTCTGGCTAAAACTAGCTTTTTTTATTGTTCCCCTGTTCTTTATGAGGGTACAAATCGACGACTTTGCTAAGCCATACTGTAAACACGAGCGCCATTCTCACGCTTTCGTATGATCTTCCTTCACTTCGGTTGTTGTTATCTATCCCACAATTTCACCACTCCCAACCAAAATCCTACATTGATACATATTTCTTTAATTCTAATGACTTGCTGTCACCTCTTACTATTTGTAAGGATCAGCACAGACAAATGAGCAGATTTGTCAGTGTGACATGTAATACTAGAATTCTGTGGCCAATTACCGAGTTAATTTTCCGGCTACATCTCTGTACCATGACCTCACAGTCAACTAAATTCAGTAAATATTTCACCGCCTTCATTGATGGATGCCTGTGGTATCGTCTTGATGAATAAAACAGGCCATGCATCATCTGGCCAAGTGCAGACAGCTCACGGGGAGGCAGACCTCAGACTGCAAGCTTCCAGCTTGTTAGCATGCTGCTGAACGCAGCTTTGTTGGTCATGAAATTTTCACGGATAATTGGGTGTTATGAAGATTAATGTGCATTAGTTTTACTCAGCCACAGGAGCCAGGCTGCCTATGGCCTCTTTAGCGAAGGGTCTGTGATCATTTTAGCTCCCAGCTTGATTGATCACCTGATTGTGTATGCAGAGCAAACGTTAAATGTACCTCTTCATAATGTTTCTTTGTTTATTTCAGCTCATGTTTGCTCCGCGTTCAGTTTGTAACTAGATTTGTTTTTGTGTAGATTAAACAGCAGTTGAGTCGAGCGAGTTTTGCAGAAATTAACTTTGATTTAAGTTCTGTAATAGAAAAAGAACAAATACAAATGTACATTTAAGGAAGAGTAAGCACCATTTGTGAAGGAAGTGTAGTATATACAGTATATGCATTTTCTATTTATTTAAATGTACAGTGGATGAGACAGGAGATCAACCATGGTACTGTATTAGAACTCCTGGATTTCCTAATAAATTCTATTTATAAAATTAAAATTCTATTAAAAAACATTTAAATTGAGGTATTTAGGGACCGTTTATAAAGCATTATTTTACTGCTGGGTTACAATGTTAAAGTAATCTCTTATAATTAGGCAGTTGTGAGTTGTGTTTGAAGCGGGGCAGATGGGTTCAGGTTCGAGTTACTTTTCATCCATTTACCACCTCTGATGAGTTTGGCCAGGACTCTTTGTAAAACCCTTAGGTTTGTACGTGCTGCTAAAATCTGCAGAGTATAAAATAGAAATATGAGGATCTACACTTTATAGAGAGAAGAACAAAAATATAAAAAATATTTTTTGCATGTGAAATAGGGTTGTCTCTGTATTATTATTTTTGGTATATTTATTTGTGTTTCTGCTAATACTGAGTGTTGTTGCAATATAACATGCAGGAGTCTGGATATAATATTGCTCATCGTATCATTTCATATCGTATCGTATATTGTGTGGTATTGTATAAGGGAATGAGAGAGAAAATTGAGAAAGTACTGTCAAAAAACATTACCAACAGACAAAGATTAAAGATATCTGTGACATTATCTGTATCACTTTAGGACCCCTGGACAAGCCCGGTACCAATAGATCCTAATGAGCTTTGGTGTGAGCGTGAAGAATGGACTATTCTAACACTGTGGGGATGTGGACATTCCAGAGCACATTTTCCACCATATTATAAAATATTTAAACGTACGCCCCAGTTGAGGAGGTGCAATTAGACACGGTGTGCTGACAGTAGAGGTCATGGAGGGTGCTCGTACTGCAGCCCCTCCCCGCCCCCCCGCCACACACACCCCACAAAGACCCAGTTGAACATCAAAGCAGATTTAAAGGCAGGACATTGACAAGTACTTTTTTCCATTGATCTTTTGGGTGTTTATTTTGAAACGCAGCTTTCATGCGGACTGGAATTATTCATTATCCACAGGCCGATGCATTATTAACTGTGTTGATTTCTTTTGATACAATGACCTAATGAATAAATAATAACACGTGACCGTGACTTGACCCAGAAGCAAAACAAGGCTTTTTTTTTTTCAACGTTAAAGTGTGTGAACCTTGACAGTGTATGTATAGAACTGAGTCATACAGGGGAGCAACATACACACACACACACACATGCCCACCGTGTATTGTTGTGTTGTTGTGTTCCTTCTATCTTTTCAACAACACCCAGTGAACCTTCTCCCCTCACAGCCATCAAATATTCAAAATGACTCCGCTCCTGTTGTGCGGCTCTGGACACCGGAGTGCACTGATCTGAGGCAGCGCTGTACAGCAACAACAGCAACAACACTGAGGTGTAAATAATGAACAAAGATCACTTTTTCAACACCGATACTGCTCAGAGGTCTAAGCCACCGCGGCAGACACTTCTGACTGGAAGCCCTGCTGAAAAAATAATGTACGGTACATTTCGTCTGGAAAAAACAAAACAAAAACAAAAACCCTACACATTCTAAATTGAATTTTACCAAGATTATTGTCAGGCATTTATTAGATCTTTTAGATACATTTTCATCAGTGGACAATGTCTTTTTTTTACTGTCTTTGTTTAAGATTTAGTTCTAGGGTATACGTGTCAAACTCGAGGCCTGGGGGCCAAATGTGGCCCGCCAAGCTGTTTTTTTTTGTGGCTTAAAATGCATTTAGTAAATCTATACCAGTGGTCCCCAACCCCAAACTCAGCCAGTACCACTCGTTACTACAGACTGGTACCAAGGTGCTGAGCAGTGAAGGATCATTACATTTTCAAAACAAAAGATCTTTTAGACTCTATTCTGTTTGTATCAGTTAATATGTGTATCAAAATTCACTGTGTCCCACTGCAGCAATTCATTTACCAAATGACCTGTGGACTGATATTGGTTCCCGGACCAGGGGTTGAGAACCCCTGATATATACAGTCTTCCATTTACAACCGGCCCTTCAAAGGGGAACTGTATTGCTGATGTGGCCCTCGGTAAAAATGAGTTTGACACCCTCGTTTTAGGGGAATGGTATTCTAGCAGTGGTTAAGTTATCGTCTGCCATGCACTAGCTCTGGGTTTGATTCCGTCCATTACTTAAGAAGCTAAGCTAGATAGAGCGACAGACTCTTTCGTGTCATACTTGTGTTAAGCTGTTGTTGTTGGTGTGGCTGTTTAATGTTATTATCCGGAGAGATAATTTCACCCAGTGACCCCATCCTGACCCACACAGGCTTTAGACCTAAGTGAATGGGAGGTTGTGCACAGAGGAGAGCTATTACTTAATGGGATCACATTTGACCTTTGACCTGTACTTCGGCTGACCACCAGCGCACAAGCCGTAAAGACTGGATCAGTGAGTGTTTGTTCAGAGAACGTCTCTTCCGTCTCGTTCGTGGTATACAGTAGGTCAACTGGTGTCGTGTGTCCCTAAAAAGTGCGACTTTTTGTGTGAAATTTAGTCATCCCCCCAACTAACACTCTACAGTCATTATTGAAACTAAAAGTGATCAGTACCAAGAGAAACACACATTTGTAAAGTGTAAAATCAGTAAAATAAAAAACAAATAGATATTATGACTAACTGCTGTGATTGGGACTCTTGAATATTAGAACAAATTAATCTAACAATCAATCTTTAGTTTTACTTCAACTTTTGTATCTGGAAGCAAAAGATACATTTTCACAGCTATTCTAATATTTAAGTGTTTTTTGTCAGTGTGTTTTTTTTAAATGCATTTATTATATTCCAATAATATAAGATTATATGCACATTTTCCTCTTTCCTTAAGCGTCTTAAATAATAGGACAATTTGTGTTATGTCTGTATATATTTTTTCATCTGTTTTTATTAACGTGTTTACATTTTTTTTCTTATTGAATTTCCTTTTTTGTATTTTTAATATTGTTTTAATATTGTTCGAATGTTATTTTCTGTTTTATCTAATAAAACATGAGATGATATAAAACACAAGATATGCACATTTCGCAATTTTCCTGGGTGTCATGTAATAATTTGAATTTTAGATTTAAAAAAAAATCTATATTTCTTTGGCAGTATCTTTAATATCTATGCATATGTATATTTTTTTCTATTGCACGAAAAGTGATTTTGAACAATGACACGTTTAATGAATGTGTAAAAGATATTTTTTTATCAGTACACAGGTAGTTGTCCAACGAATTTTACTTGATAGAAAATGGGCGAATACATTTAAACTCATATTTCACAATAGCTTAGAACTTAAGTCGGAGTTCTTTAAACGGTGCAGCTGCAGGGCAGCAGATGGCGCCACTGCGCCGCCCCGATGATGTATTTGGCACAGAGATGAGTCCACGTTGTTCCACTGTCTGTCTGCGCTCCAGTGTTCCTCTCTCACTCTCTCCTTCTCGCCTTTCAGTGTACACCTATCTTTGTACCACGAGCATCAGCAGTCTGTCCGTTGGACCCAGTGATACGAGCGCTACTACGGCGCGAAGCATGGCACCTCTGCGCCCCAGAGAAGAGCTCTCCGCCGCTGGGCACATCTGCGTTTTTCTCCTCATCGCCTCGGCCGGGATGACACTACCCGGACCCGCGTTCTGTGACCGCGGGGCTTCAACCCAACCCGCTAACGTGGACCGTACGTTTGACACGAGCCTCGGAGACGGACGCTTCCCGCAGGACTCTTTGGGAAGCCGTGACGAGGAGGCAGCCGGCACAGGCAGCTCGCCCCGCTTCAGGAGGTCCCCGTCCCGGGAAAAACAAATGTCACTGCTCAGCAGCTCCTTCGTGCTCAAAGGGGATGCGACCCACAACCAGGCGATGGTCCACTGGACAGGAGAGAACAGCAGCGTGAGTACCCTTACTGTATTTTCCCCACTCCAGCTTTCCGTCCTGTCCCGTCAGGACCCGCTGGTCCACGCACCCTGCTGCCACACCCCCTGCTTTGTCACCTTCCCTTTAACATCCGTCACTCCCGTCCACAACACGGCATAGACCACTTTATTGTTCTCGCGGCAGACTGCGTGCCGCTGCGTGTGCGCACGGTGCGCAGAGAGCGTCAGGCGGCACAGTGTGGCACCGTGACTGCTTTTACGCGTGCAGGTGGTTCCATCCACCTGGAGGCGCCGCTGATGTGTCCGGAGACCCTCAGACATGTCATACATCACACCGTGGTGGTCCCCCGGTCTGCGCTTCATTCTATTGTCTGATCACAACGCAGAGCAAAACTGGGAGAAACGCCGTTATCATTTCAGCATGTTGTGAACGTGGCATTTGGAATTTACACGCATTGTCATTAGTCTGTGCTGGAGCTATTTATTTTATTTTATTTATTATTTTGACTCTGACCTTACTGTGAGAACGATTCGTGGCACAATGTGCGATAATAGGAACACGAGGACGCGCCTGCACTGACAACAGTGTAGACGTGGAGCGCGCGCGATACAAACGGACGCTTCTTCTCCTTCTTCATTTAGTCAAACAACTGTTCTGAAATATGAATACGTCCTTTCTAGCTATTAAATCTTTAGTAGTTGTTGTTTTTTTTTAAACCAGAGTTTGAAGCAGCAGTTGACGCCACAGCTCATTGAATCAGAGACATTTTTGTACTTTGGGGAGATAAATTCTTTTGTCTCCATTGAATAGTGATGACATATTTTCTTCACCAAGATAAGAAACGTTCGAATCATTAAGTATTAGAAGCTCACACATATATAAGACTAAAGTCATATTGAAATGTTTTTTCTTTTCATTGGGATACATTTATTTATTTAATTACTAAATGCCAGGTGAAATAAGAGCTGCTGCTTCTTCATTTGTAAACAAGAGCTGTCTTTGTGATGGTTATTGACCAGCGTCCAGAGTGTTGGTGACGGTGTCTGGAGGGGACAGCGCTGGGACTCGGAGTCATTCTGTCAGTGTTGTGTCTGTGCTGTGACAGCAGACGCCTCGGAGACAAGAGAGAAAAAAGACAGTCAGAGTGAAATTAACACAGTCGTCTGACTGCGAAAGCGTTGGCAGAGCGACAGCGGTCCACTCTCATTTATCGACGGACATTCAAGCAGACTTGTTAAAATGTGGGGCAGTGGTGGCTCAGTGGTTAAGGAAGCAGACTTGGGTCCGGAAGGCTTCAGGTTCAAGTCCAAGTTACCACTGAGGTGCTCTGAGCAAGGCACCGTCCCCACCCGCTGCTCCCCAGCTCTTAAAGCTGCCCACTGTTCACTTTGATGATGGGTTAAAAGCAGAGGTCACAATGACAAGTAGTTCACGTACTGTTCCTTCCTTCCTTTAAAAAAAAAAAAAAAAAGCTAAAGTGTGTTTCCGTCAGTTTCAGTAGTTCACGTACTGTTCCTTCCTTCCTATAATAATAAAAAAAAAAGCTAAAGCGTGTTTCTGTCAGATTCGAATGTTAGCAGGAGATGTGATGATTTAGACTCAGTTCACGTTTTGTGAAGTCGTTCTCTTTTGGCAGCTTCAAAGTTGAGCTCAAAGGTGAAGTTTTCTTCACTGTAGAGTTGAGTCACAACAGTAATTACAGCACAGCAGATGCAGAGTCATGGAAAAACACGACAGAGTCAAATACCAGTGGTTAAAAACCTAACTCAGTTCTGGTCTGAACTATATGCCTATTAATAATTTTAAAAAGTTATAATGATAACGGTATTCTTTTAAAACCTCTATTTGGTCGATGTAGGTTATTAAAGTTTGAGGCCTGAATTTTTGTCACTAATAATAATAAAAAGACATGTCAGTTTCCCAGAATTTACCCAGACCTTATCCAATCAGGAGCCAGAAGTCCACAGCTAGGCAGTTGTCTGTGCTTGATGCAGGGAAGGAGACTTTAGGTCGAACCAGGGCAGGAATTCAACTTGAACTCAGACCAATTTTGCCTTCGCTTTTACTATTCCGTCATATTGAGAGAAATCGTTCGCTTCCTCAAGTCACAGCTTGGTCTTACTTTCTTCCGTCTTCATCATATGTGTACATACATTTTGTGCCTCCCTTTTTACCCGGTGCTCCAGATCAGCTCACATTGGACCGAGTCTGGGCTCCGTGTGAAACTGAATGTGAAGAGAGTCAAATCAAAAATGTGGGCCAAGTGGTGAAAGATTCCATTTTTCGCTCTTATCTCCCTCCGCCCTGTGTTCACGACTGCTGCTTTTTGTAGATTCTTCACACTGGTACGCGGGATTCAACTGACCTCAGGTTGCTTAGCACTGGCTAAGAAGCAAGAGTAGTGTTTTGGACTTAAATCGAATGAGACCTGTTCGTAAATTAAACATGAGCTTGTTAGGCTAATTTAAATATTAAAAAAAAAAACCCACTCATCTCAGCTCCCACATGGACAAGACTGTGAAGTAGCATCAGGGCGGGTGAAAGCAGCAGCAGTCACATCTGTTGTGGTTTACACTGTTGCCAAGCAGTTGGAAGTTCGAAGGCTGTAATCCCTGGTTAGCCTGAGGGCTAACTATGTTTAGAGTTATCCTGTGTCTACTGTGGCTACTTTAAATGGAAGCCCAGGATGGAAGTAGTGTTGAACAACAACAACAACAGTTCACCTGGAATATTTATTAAATCATGTTTTCAGCACATTATCCTCTTAAGGGAATCGAACCCCTGACATTTTTCCTGTAAGGCAGGAGCAGTGACCACTCTACACCGTGCTGCAAGCACCTTTTTATGAAAAAAAGCGAATTTATTTGCTTGTTATTACAATCCATTACATTTTATTTTACCTTAAAATTATTTAGATTTTTATTTCAAAGTTGATTCACTTAATAATATATCAGGTTTAGGTTAAAATGAAGCAATGGTTTTAAATTGTAGTTCCATTTAGTGGAAAATAACTAATGAATCAAAACAGGCGATAATGCATTTGAGTCTGACTCACTCATAAGTTCATTAGTTTTTGACTCCACAATGGAATGGAAACCTATAGCCTACGGTATATCCCACTGGTTTTCAAAGTGGGGACTTTAGTTTTACCTGCAGTGTAACCCAGTGGTTACCAAAGATGAAGGAGTTATTGTAGGGGGCACAGCAGTTCATATTATTTATTTTTTAAAAATATATATTTTAAAATTGTGCCAGAGTAGATATCCATTCATTCATAGTTTTATTTCCCCGTTCAATGAGACTATCAGTTTTAAAGAATTACAGGTTGTGAAGCAGTAGCTGTGAATGTGTAGAGAAGGTTAGGAAACCACTGGTATAACATGCCACCAACGTCAACTTAATGTGGCGTCAGTTTTCAGTGACCCGTGAGAAATTCAATATAGTTTGAGGTTGAATCAAGGTATACACCAAAATAAAAAACTGAGCCACACAAAACTTGTATCACTTCTGAGAATGAAGTACAACCACCCCAGCAGTGTTGGCATTTAGGTAATTAAAAAACCTGACACCCTTCCAGTTTTTTTTATTTATTTTTTTTTGGCTTATCTTGGAATGATAATCTCAGCGTCCATGGACTGCTCAGTTTACTTTTTTTGGCTTTGGGAGTTTTTAGGAACTCCTAGTTGTGCCAACACTTAATTAATTTGGCATCTTTGCACAGGAAAGGTCAAGCAGCCCCTGTTCATCCTAGTCTAATAAACTCAGACAAATGGTGCCATTCTATTTCCGTGTGGTTGACATTTATGAGCCGCGCCCAGATTGATGGGTGGGTCGGGTTTAAAACCCGGTTCTCTCGCTCTGCTCTTTTTTTCCCATTTTATGATTAAGTTTCAGAGTGTAAGGTATTGATGGGAGGGTCAAGAAGTTAGAGGACTTGGGCTGAGTCTATGATGAGTTTTACAGTGAAGACAGAGAAGCTACGAAATTTGGACAATTCAGTACCTCACTCTATGTCATTCCTGTGTTTGTCTCTGAGGATGATGCCATTTCTTTTAGTACGGATGTCCGATATCAACTTTTTGCCGATATTGTCCAAACACTTAATTTCTGATTCCGATATCAAATGATACTGATATAGCCGTGCAGTGATGGCCTGGTGGTTAAGGAAGTTAAGTACCGCCTGATCACTAAGGTAATGGGTTAAAGCAGTGTTTATCAATTATTTTCAGCCACGCCCCCCTTCCAGGGGACAGAAGATTTTTCACATCCTCCCCCAAATTGAAATACTATTGAGTGCCTGGTGATGTTTATTTATTTATCTCTACAAACCACTGTATGACTTGCTGGTACCATCATATTGCATACAATCCAGTGATTATCAAAATAGATTAATAAAATGAGCTGCAATGCTGCCATCTAGTGACTTTCACTTTCATATACAGCCGTTTTTCCCCACAACTATTTTAAGGTCACAGGCATTGCGTTATCAGGTTTTCTTTATCGGAAGAAAAAGCGATCTTACAGCTATTACTTTTTAGCCAAGAAAATTAAATGTCTAGCAACAGCAAATAGTCCCCATCATCGGTAAGCTTCACCTTGATGAACTCTGATTGGCCGATCAGTGGCCAGCAGCATGAAGAAGCTTTGCCTCTGGCAGCAGGTGTCTTTGAATCACACTGCCAAGGTTTCTCCATGTGTGTGTGCTTGTGAGCAGCGTTGGCCATTCAAGGATAACTGGAAAAAACAACCGGAAAAAAAAAAGCACATTTGGAATAACAACCAGCGGAGTGCAACAGTAATGCTCCTCGCTTTCTCTTCACGATCTACGGAATCAGCATAAAAAATCCATTATGGAAGAGGTCAGAGTTCCCATTCACAGCGTCTTGCTAATATTCATGAAGGGGAGAATAGGCAAACAAGAAAGTGTTCTTTAGAAAAGCAGGGGAGGAAGTAGTTGTTTTTCATTCGGCGTAACACAGCTTATTATCCAGCAGCTTTTTCGTCATGTTTTAAAT